ACAGTATGTGGAAAATGTGGTTTTTTTTACTTTAAACCGCATAAACACATTTCATTACACCAAATACACAAAATAATGTTCTTTTTAGCAGCATCATATGACCTCTTTAATAAACATGTTAACTAAAATACATATGTTATACCCAGGGCTAATTTATTTAAAATGTTACATGACTAATAAAAATCACAAACTAATCATATATAATTTTATTTAAAATAAAAGGAAAATAAAGTGAGCTGAATCCAAACAGCTCTAAAAGATTTTAGAATAGTTCTCTGCATCTTTCTGAAGGTGCTCCGCCTGTGTTTGTGGTGTTGAATGCTTTGACCATTTAAACATAATTACACAAACAAAATGTTTAGTGTACTGTCTCTGGAAAAAAAATAAACTGATTGATTAGCCTATATTTATTTATTGTAGACGCTAGCAGCTGAAAACATACATGTTTTTAAAATTTTTTGGAATATCGTTGTCATAATAATATTGATTCTCATATGTTGTTACACAGTTGCTGTAATCAATTGCGTGAAATTATTTACTCATTCCCTTTACAATCAAAGATTAGACTCTAGATGAGAGCAGGCCACCACATGATGACATCCCCACCAAGCAGTGATCAAGATCTCCTGATCTTATTCTCTCTGGGCTTTTCTTGCAATAACAAACGCGTCTTATAAACAGAGTTACAGTTTAAGCCGAGAGCCCAGCTAAAGCAAACAGCAACCAACATCATGGTGACTTCAAACAAAACATTTTAATTCAAATGTCAACGTCTAAACTTTTGCCATTCTTAATAAGAACTTTTGTAGACGTCTGACAGAAATAAAGTCAATCTGGTTAGAAATGAGTGAAGCTGTTAATGCTGTTTGTGAATGCTGTGAATGCTGTTAATCCTCCTCTGCTGAGATTTAATGTCTTATTTTGTTTAATTGATTTCATTTAAGGCTGTGGCTGCAAGTCGGTTGTAGTTCTTGTGTTTCTCTTTTTTCCTGTTCTTGTTGTTTCTTTTTTCTTCTTTCTTCAGTGATTCTGCTTCTTAACAGCAGGTGTTCATCACTAATGCTCAATCAGCACTTAAATATTCACTTAATCATCTAATTAACTGCAACATTTTTACTCTTTGTAGTGTGGACACTACAGGATTTGTAGTGGGGTTAGTGTGTGGAGGTCTTGAAGGTTATCAAGCAATTTGAACTAATTAAAGAAAATAAGTGTTAAAATTTCCATAAAAATTACTTTAGAAAAATATATAAATTGATGTACACAGAATAATAAAAAATAATCGTTCATTCGAACATTAAAACGTCTCATCTTTATTAGTTTTACATTCATATTGTGTATTAGCACATATCTTAGCAGTAAAAAAAAATAGGATAAATAGTGATGCATATTTGAGATATTACTACATAATTGAGATATTACTATTTAAGTCGTGGGGAAGTCGTGGCCTAATGGTTAGAGAGTCAGACTCATAACCCAAAGGTTGTGGGTTCGAGTCTCGTACCGGCAGGGATTGTAGGTGGGGGGAGTGAATGTACAGCGCTCTCTCCCACCTTCAATACCATGACTGAGGTGCCCTTGAGCAAGGCACCGAACCCCAACTGCTCCCCGGGCGCCGCAGCATAAAAATGGCTGCCCACTGCTCCGGGTGTGTGTTCACGGTGTGTGTGTGTTCACTGCTGTGTGTGTGCACTTTGGATGGGTAAATGCAGAGCACTAATTCCAAGTATGGGTCACCATACTTGGCCACATGTCACGTCACGTCACTATGTTAATGACAAATCCTTTACAATAGTAATTACTGCATACCATGAATAAGTGTACAAATGATCTTATTTATCTCAAGTCACACTGTAAAGAATGTCTTAACAGTCATCAGACCATAATTAAGTTCAGAATTCATTAGAATGGATCTACTCACAATGTGATGTTCTGAACAGTCCGTCTGCCTTCAGCTGACTCTGAAAGTCTGCAGACAACCAGATCAGAAAGCCTATTTATACTCAAGTCAAGTCAAGTTCAAGTTGAGCTTTATTGTCATTCTGCTGCATGTGGGGACATACAGTGGAACGAAATGTCGTGCCTCACAGGACCACGGTTTACATAAATACAGGCATACAACAATGAAGTAAAACAGTAAAAACCTATACAGTAAAGCAGTAAAAACCTATACACAACTAACCTACTGACTGATTTTGATTATAAATATACTATATATGTATATATAAATGTTTACCTATACATAAGTTAAAAAAAATACAGACTATACGGATGCTTCACATAAACACTGTACCTATACACAGCTAACCTACTGACAGATTTTGACTATGAATATACTATATATAAATGTTTACCTATGCATAAATAAAAAAAAAGGCAACACCCTGTTTTGAAAGTCATGTGATTTCTGGGAATGCGTTATTTATTAGTTAATTAATATTTTATTTTATTTATTTATTTATTACAAAATAGGTCCAAGTAGACTTATAAACAAAACTCAGCATCTCTAAAGAGGTTGTTTAATGATATTTGTCACTCTTACATTGCACAAACAAAGTGAACAGCTAAACTGAAATGTTCCCTCAGGGTACAAATCATAACAGCTTTCAAGGGGGCAGATTTGCTGATGAACCTAAAATCATTCACAATATAAATTATTTTAATTCATGCAGACATGTGCTTTAAATAATATGTCTAATAATCATCAAATTAAATCTTGCTTGTTTGTCATAAAAATCATGTGCAAATTTATCATAACGAGTCGTGCAAAATGGTTTCACATTTTATATACTATTTTTTTCGAGCAGGCCTACTGTTTGTAACATAATGAACATGAAGACAGTTGTATTGTCTCAGTTTTAGATAAATGTTTTAGGTAGTAATTGAATATAATTCGACATTCTACAAGCTGTAGGTGCTGCAGGTCTAGGTTAGATGAAGCGGCTGTCCGGAAAGGCTCAACCAGGTTTCCGTGAAGCAAAGCGCAGCAGAGTTTAAAAAGTTATTGTTTGTGCGGGTGAGGAGTAGTAGTTCGTCTGATTTATTTGCTAGGGAGCAGAGATTCGCCAAATGAATGCTCGACAGTGGAGTCCTAAAACCGCGCTGTCTGAATTTCTCGAGAGCACCAGCGCGCCTCTCTCGTGTGCGTCGCTTGGATCACAACTCCTCCGACTAGAATGTCCAGTAAAAAGTCTGAATGACCAAAAGTCGGCAAAAAGTTATGTAGTGTGCTATTTCTGATGTCTAGGAGTTCATTTCTAGTAAAGCTGATTTTAACAGTTACTTAAGACAGGACAAACAAACAAAAATAGTACAAGTACCAAGGAGCTACAAACAGATGCAGCCGTCCACGGTGCCATCTTGATCAAGTGTATCGACTATACACTATATCGAACTGTGTGAGTTGTTTACTTTTTAAATTAGCCTTCCCATTAACTTCCCATTTGCTGTTCAGTGCTGGGGTGTAATTCCGGAAAGCATGGTTAACTTACCGTCACTTATACCCCGAACTCTCGGTTGATTAACCCAAACCTTGCTTTCTTGATGTATGCTGGTTCCAAAAACATGTCTGGGAGTAAGTTCAGTCAACTCAGAGTATGTTCTTGGTTAACACGCAATAAATACTCTACAGAGCGACGAATCAACGAGTCACCATGGAAACGGACACTAAAGCTGTGTCTGAAATCGTTCACTCATTCACTAATCCCTATATAGTGTATACAGTATGGCAGTTGAGTGCCCTATATCAGAAAGGAGTGAACGAAATGAAGTGAGCGAATTCGGATGCGTCGGAGAGCTGGAGCCGTCGCAGAAACATCTTCGTCACATATGTACATTTATATTACATGTACCTTATTTTAGAAAATAATATTAATAACAATAACACTTACAATGACTTTATATTGTAATTATACATACCTTCGCGCCAGCTTTGTGGTTTCATCGATGGTATTAGGCCTAACTTGTTTTGTAATGCTTAATACGTTCATAATAATTAAATACTATTAAAATACTGACAACAAAAATAAACAACACAAAATACAACACATACATTTTATGTATTGAAACTATTGAAACTCTCCCGAGCAGTGTTTTGCGCTCAGATAAGATGATGGTGGTCGTAGAACGCCTTTAGGCGACCGTTAGTTTTACATTAGAATACGCCACATACAGGTGATTAACAAATATTTTTTTAAATCTTCCACCAAATTATCATCACATCTCTCATCTCTTATAAGTTAACAGTGCCACCTCAATAAATTAGTAAAACATTAATTTGAGTTAATGCCTAAATTATATATTTTAAAATTAATAATGCATGAAATATCCGTTAAAGCAGAAATAAGAAAGATGTAAACTGCATCTCTCATTCAAACTCGCTCGCTCCCTCTCTCTCTTCCAGCTCGTCGGTTCTCCACATTGGATTGTGGGAAATAGTGCTTCAGCGAGTGTACATCGGCCGACACCCGATATAGTGCACTATATAGGAGATAGGGAGCGGTTTCGGACGCAGCTTAAGAAAAAGCGCGCCATGCTGCTTCTTTCTTTTTCTTTTGTTCAGTGGTCATTTACATACATACTGCATATCGCCACCTAATTAATGGTTGTGCAATACGTTTTCTCTTTTTTTTTCGTTTAATCTTTCAATCACTGAGAATAAGAATTATATTGTTTGTTTGATGCAAATTATATAATAAGAAATATTACATATGTATTTTTATCATAGAAATAAATACATTATAGAAAATGCAGATCCACAATGTGTGAGATGACAGTAAAATATAATAAATATATTAGAATGAAATAAACATTACCTTGCTATAATAGTGTTTTATAATTATTATATATGACAATAAATATAATAACATTGTAACGAGGAGTCAGAGGCGTTCGGATCCATTTGCAGCTTTTATTTGAATCAAAGGCAGAGTTAGACAGGCAGTAATCAATCAACAGCGTCACGAGCAGCAGGGATAATCCAGGAGAGTAAACAGAAACAAAGCGAGGGTCGGGGCAGGCGGCAGAGAATCACACGAGTAATAACAGTCCAAGGTAATACACAAGATATGTCAAGACAGGGGATAAACACTCAGAAATGTAGCCGGGGCAATACAAGACTTCGCGAATACTGAGAGTCTGGGAGCTGCTTAAATGGGGAAGCTAAGGAGAAACACCTGTGCCAGTAATCAGTCCCAGGTACGGGGTGTTATGGGAAATGTAGTCCATGAACGCTAGTACTCGGGAGAGGGTGCCCTCCGGAGGCCGTCGGAGAGAGCCACAGAGGCCTGATTTGTGACA